CCATGGTTTTTAGCACATTCACAGATATGTTAATAACACCACAGTCAATTTTAAAGTATTTTCATCATTTCAAAATAAAACCCTAGCTCTCACTTTTCTATCCTCCCATCCCCCAGCCCTAAGCAACCACTAATCTACGTTCTGCCTCTATAGATTTGCCTGTTCTGAACATTTCATGTAAATGAAATTATGTATGTAGTATTTTGTGACTGTCTTTTCAATTAGCATGTTTCAAGGTTTATCCATATTGTAGCATGTATCAATACTTCATTCCTTTTTATTGCCAAATTCTATTCCATTATGTGAATCTACCATCTTTTCTTTACCCATTTATCAGTTGATAGATATTTAGATCATTTTCCGCCCTTTCTCTATTATGAATCATGCTGCTGTAAACATTTGTGTACAAGTTTTCCTGTGGATCCAGTAGAAATTTTCTACCTTTTGGGTTCTGTTTGTTTTACTTTTATTATAAACTCTTTTGTGATTTTTACTTTCACTATAAACCCTATCAGCTTTGCTATTATGGAGGAAAGACTTCTTTATTACAACAAAATTTTCTCTTGCTCATTTATGCTAATGATATTTTTAACACTGTGGTCAACAATTCTAAATTTTTCTGGAATTCTCAGATCAATGCCATTTTTTTCTTAGTATTTTAAATATGTTTATGTTGTATTTGAGAACCAAGTTCTGTCTTTTGTGGTCTGTCTTCTGACCATTTTCATAGTCATAAGTACATTTGCCAAAGGAAAATGGAGAAGACAGAAAAAAATACACTTTTAAAAATGTGTAATAGCACTGATAAAAGGCACAATAAGATTAGGATTCCATTGGGAGGTTTTCAGTAGATTTGGTTTAACTATTGCTACATATTTTCCCATTGGTCACCATAGCTAGTTGAGGGTTAGAAGAATGTCTTGGCAGCTGTTTAATTTGCTGTTTACAAATTTGAAAGCATGAATAATTCGTCTACCCTAACCCAGTCTACCCAACATTTTCATGGAATGAGGTTTCCATACAAGTGAATTTTCCAAATAATTGAAGCTTACTAGAGTGCTTCGTAAAATAAATTTCAAGAGTTCACAATAAACATTGTTCTAACATGTGTTATGTACTTCTGAGATTTGGAATAATAAATTTAATCCTTAATTACATAATTAATTCCTTCAAGCAAGGACTGCTTACATGCCAGACAGAGGTAGGCATGGAGATAGTTCTGGGAAGGAAAAAACCACAATCCTAACCCTTGTGTAGATGATCGTCTAGGGATGGGTCAGCAGGCAGATATAACACTGTCCCAGGTGCCTGTTTGGTAGTGCAGATAGCCGAGGATGCTCACAGAAGCACCAGCCAGATTTGGGAGTTCAGGAAAGGTTACTAAAAAAAAACCATCTAGGCTGAGATTTCAGAGGCTACAGGTAGAGTATAAATGCGTGGTAAGATTGACCTAGCGTAGTGGGGTCATGTGCTCTAGACGGAGAGTGCGAGTGTGCAAGTGAGAGAGTGGGGAGCTCTCATGGTCCTCTCTCTCCCTCTGTCATTACATTTGACACATTTTTTGCTCTGTTGACTTATCCATGTTGCCCCTCCCCACAGAATATTCCTTGAGGAAATGGAGTGTATTCATTGTTGTTCTGTGTCTCCAGAAGGCACTATCAGCATGCACCTGATGACTGTTTATGGAATGAATGAATGAATGAACGAATGAGTACACTAATGAGGAGGCTTTGATGTTCACAGTGCTGTGATAACAAACCTACCTTTATCTGGAACTTCACATTCATGGCTGGTCACTTAGCTGGGAGCCAACTAGACATCTCTTCCTACTTCAAAGTGGCTGCTCCATTTTTAGGCTATGCAATAAGTTCCTGTTTCCTGTCTGAGGACATCTTCAGCTCTCAGCTCAGAGCACAGATGACGAACATGTCCTGAGCGTACTGAATGGGCAGCCAGCTCATGTTGCCAATCCTCCCTCCCTCCTCTTGGTTTCTTTGATGACTTCATCAGTTAGAAACTCCTCAGGCAATAGTGGGACTTCCCCCAAGGTCTTCTATTTACATCTGTATTGTGCACAATATTTTGAGTATTAAAACAAAAAATTAAATGTGTAATTTCTAACAAAAGAAGAGGACCTTTAGCAGGAAACCTTTTCTGGCTATTCTAACCTACTCCAAGTAATCTCTCCTCTCACCAACTATAGTATATTTTATGCTGTCAGTTTCATCAGTCATTATTCCTAGTATTATTACTTTATATTTTAAACACAATCATTGCTATTTAAGCTTCATATGTTTCATTCTCTAGGAATCTCAGGCTATCACAAGCTGTCTACTTGTCTAAAATTATTTACATATGACAGTAACATTAAAGAACTGTCACGTGTACTCAGTTACTGAAATCTATTGGGTTGGAATTATTGACAAATAGCCTCTAGATGAAATTTTGAAACAGTAATTATCAGTTTTCTCTATCATGTAGACATATAATAAAAGAAAAAAATAGGAATTTTCTAGAAAGAGCCCCTACCCATACATAATTTATTCAATACTGTTATTCATAGGACCAGTAAGAAACAGAACAAAACAATTTAGAAGTTGAGTGATAAAGTATTATGTGGCCACTAAACTTATATTTCCAAATATATAAAATGAAATTGCAAGGTGTTTACGATATAATTTCAAGTGAGCAAAGACTACTAATCAAAGAGAGTAGGGTCCAATTACGTGTGTAACATACAGAAGATACATAGACGCACACACAGAGAAGATAAACACATGTTAACCGCGGTAGGTAATTTTTATATTTTTCTTTGTACTTTTTTGTATTTTCCAAGTGCCTCATAAAGAATATATACTATTGTTATAATCAGAAAAAAATTAATAGTAGGTGGAAAAACAGAAGAAAACATGCACCCTTACTTCTATGTGCCACTGGGAACAGGCATCGGTATTTTAGTTCTAGTCACTTCATTATGTAACTAAACAGCCCAACAGCGTTTTGCTGTTGACAACTGTTCTGAAAGTAGCATGAACTTGGAAAGTCCTTAACTACTGACTTCCTGGATCTCAGCTTCCTCATCTATAAAGTGAGAAAAATCGCAGTAACCCTAGACAGGCTTAACTAGGTACATATAAAGCACACTAAAAGACAGCAGTATTTAGATGGATTGCCAGGAACTTCTCAATGTTATTTATATTTGCTTTGCTATTTATAGAACTGGCAGCATATCCCTTTTCATAATAATGGGGATAGCTACCATCTGCTGGATGCATAACACATAACTATGTGACCAACACTTTACTTATTTTATCTTATTTAATCTTCACAACAGCCCAGTGAGGGATTTTTATCCCTATTTCCCTTGTGGTGAACTGGGACACAGAGAGGTCAAGTGATTTGGCCAAGGTCACAGAGCTAGTAAGTCACAGAGCAATGATTTTATTCTAGGTCTCTCAGACTCAAAAGTTCATGCTCTTTCTCCTGTAACATATGGCTTTACACTTAGCAAGCGACTCTATCCTGATACATTCAAAGTGTACAGTTGCCAAAAGATTAGCTTCCTTTCAACGACTTGTCCATGGGAGAATGACAAAGAAAGATAAATACTACATGAGTGAGGTAAGGGTTTATAATTTGTCAAGTACCTACTCTGAAAGTTCCTAAAGAAACTTATTGTCTTGTTGAAGAGCTTACTCATGTATTATGAAAAACTACTGTG